GTCCCATATCTTCCTACATGAGGTCCGGCAGGGAACACTTGGCGTGGATACTCGCGGTTGAGGTCCGGCAGGGAACACTGGGCGTGGATGGTCGTGGTTGAGGTCCGGCAGGAACACTGGGCGGGGATGATCGTGGTTGAGGTCCGGCAGGGAACACTGGGCGTGGATGGTCGTGGTTGAGGTCCGGCAGAGAACAATGTGGATCGCGGGTCGCAGTTGAGCAAGGACGACGAGGACGACGAGGAGGACGAGGAGGAGGAGGAGAAGAGGCGGAGGAGGAGGAGAAGGAGGAGGAGAAGGAGGACGAGGAGGCAACTGACATAAAATCTAACAACCCTCACCTGGCAGGTGGGGAAAAAACAGATCATAGGTAATAGATAATACATACAGATCATGGGTAATAGATCAAACATCCCAAGACTTGGGAATCGAATCTGGCAATTATTCGGTGAATCTACTGGAAATTATTCGGTGAAAGCTGTTGGTTGATGTTCATGTTTAGGCATAAACCGTTGGTTTGTGAGTTGAATGAATGTTACTCAGCGAAGGAATCCAAGATCCAGCTGGAAAGTTTATCCCACTTGGGTAGTTAAAATAGCTGCTGGAAGCGCCCAAAATAAAGTGGGTGTGGCTCCAAGAAGGGGGAAACTCCCAGAAGCTAAGCCTGGTCAGCTCTTCAATTTTGGGTTGTTTTTGATATTAAGACTTAGCGTGATGCGGATGATGTTCAGAATGCAGGTCAAAGGGTCTACAAGAGTAAGTATGAATGCTCGAAGATAACACCTTGGATGTAGGACTTGTGTTATTTCATCACCCGCAAACTGAATGCAAGTTGAACGAGGGTGAGCCCATGTGAGCCCTATAAAGAATCTTCGACACATCTCGCCACGAGCACTTCAATTTCCGCTTGACACCAGTCATTCACAGTCAGGAAGTCCAACGTGAAGGTGCGGATATTGATCACTGGCTCAGATCCTTGGCTTAGCTTGGGTAAACTTGGCTCGTCTGATCGGATTTGGGTTTGGGGAAAATTGAAAGTGGAAAATCTAGAGTTGGATGGTAAAAACCATGCTTTCCGGTAGGTGTTCCCTTGAAACTAATCGATCCAAGAATGTTGGAGGTTAAGTGATCTACGGATCCTGTGGTTTGGCTTCACTATAGCCTACAACCATGGTGTTAGACCATATGATGTCGGGAATCTCTGACGTCGAATATGGTTGAATATGGTATGTCTAATGCAAGAGTTAGCAAGATATAGAGAAAGAGAAGTATAATAACAAGTCAAGTCCTCTTGTTTGCTGATGGCTAAATTGTCTCAAACGGACCCTCCAATTTGTTCCAAAGGGATGGCAGTTGATGACTCAAGCAATCCTTCTGACTGGGAAATCCACCAAAAATGCCAACGACTCATTGACCTAATAACAGCAATACCGGCAATACCTCAAGGTAGGTCCGGATAGCTGAACAATCAAGGTCTTCATGCTGGAGCCCCAGTATTGTAATCAGCATTTTGGGCTTCCCCTGATTTAATTGACACGGTTGGTCAATTATATCCTCATCATATCACCATCAGGCTTTATTTGTGTCTATTCATGAACTATATCAAATAGCACCATGAGGCCAGTAGGCTTTGGATGTTTCTATAATCCCTGGACCACTCGTTGGCCGCCTCTTCAACGCAGCCTAGGTGAGCAATGCAGAGGCATTGGCCACTTTGGAATCTCGAAAGGTTCGCCCAGTGGTCCACTAAGCAGGCTGCTACCCTCTGCTTTTAACTAACACAGCCATGAACAATCACCATTTTTCATATAGGGAAATCAACGTGCTAAACGGGTAATTTCAATAGAGAGTAAACCCCAAGGGTTGATGATTGTTGATTTCAAGGGAATTGTACGAACGAACCTATTGGGGAGAATCACAATCCATGACGAGGTGAATCCCTTTCTTAACCAACCAGTATCAATAAAGGGACGACGCAGGGTTTTGAACACTGCTCAATGCTCAACTGCAGATTTGGGGATTGTAACCTCAGGTGAACAAAAAGGTGACCGGAAACACTAGATTGGGAGTTCGAAGTGGTTAAATTACTGCGGCAGGGATCTACAGGGCTTTATATTTTCATGTTGCTATTGAACGGTTTTTATTGCAGCTGTTCTTGTCAACCAAGGAAGTCTTCCAGCATTTGGTTACGAAGGCGATGCAGAAAGAGTGCGCAGTGGTCCGCTCTGCCCGCGAATTGCTCGCCTACAAACCCTGGGCCTACTACTTTGTAGTGCCTGGAAGAAGCAGAAAAGATGGGTCAAAACTGGTGATGGCTCAAATCTGATGTTAAATTGGCAGTGGATCACAACCCAGGTACTCTTTTGAACATCAACATGTTCGCGAATCCACAGTTTTAATACCATAATGTTTCTGAAGCAAGTTGAAATTTACAAACTTTACCAACATTAAAACCTCGTGCCAAATCCGTAGACTTCAGGTCCTCTTTTCTCAGGGCATTCTGCAAGACCCTGGTTTCGCGGAGACCTTGCTGAGTACCTACGTGGAGGGCGAAGAGCAGGAACGGCAATTGGAGATGGTCACGGTGAATGTTGCTGGGAGCAACTGACCGGGTGAGAGAGGGGGATTCAAGAAAAGAAGGTAGCGGAAGCCAACGGCGATTTCTGGGGTTGGTGAATGGATGATTTTTGAGAGCCCTTTGTTTCGCGCAGTATTTAAGGGTCACAATGTCGCAGAAATCTGGTCGAGATTTTGCAAGAAATCTGAAGGTACCTGGGAACTACGGGAAAATTTCATGAAAATTCTAATCAAAGGACGGGGCTCACCCTATAGGTCCCTCTGGTTCGAGGATATGCTGGCTATAAACTCGCCATGAATGCAGCTTCCGTCCATGTTCATTTTCAGGGGGTTGGCATGGAGGGGATGGCTTTTATAACGCGTTGGCAAGGCACAGTTCAATAGAGCGTCCATATTTCGAGAGTGTTCTCCTGAACTTTTGAGCAAATGCTCCGGGTTTGCTGAGCGTGTTTGTTTACAGGGCATCTGCGATTGAAGGATAGAAGTCAGAGGGTTTGCTGATGGTTTGGGTGCTTCTGGGATTCTTGAGCCAAAAGTGCATGCCAGTCACGCATGAATATTAGCCGATGCAACCCCTAAATGTGAATTCTGAATTTTAGACATGGAAATGGAGAAACCTCCAGTTGAATGTGCAGTAGATAATTTGCATACTGAAACTGGGACTTCCCAGTGTCAGGTTAAATTACCACAGCAGGATAGATATGGATAGACAGATGTCCACTTGAAGAGGCTTCCCTACAAGCTTCAATATGTCCAAGAGGCATAGTTTTGGCTGATTCCATTCACTTTCCTTGAATGTACTGCCACGCGCGGACGTATTGCTTGTTTGGGTTGAGCGCAATCCAGTCAACTAAAATCCCAGAGATGTGTTCAAACCACAGTGGTTCCAAGGGGTTGCTGGCGTTAGATTCGTCAGATGCCAGGATATGCGAAATGATCCGCATATCTTTGAAGATTTTGAAGTTACACTTCCAATTATGGCAAATCCAATGCCATAAACCATCCCATTCACAACCATGACCGGGGGGGTTTTGTATTTGACACCATCCCGTTTCTAGGTTTTTTTTTTGTCCATCCCATATATAGGTGGTTTTCTCTCCTCCAATTCAGGGATGGCTGCCATGAGGCTGATACCTCCTTCGAATTTCCCAGCCCAGAATTCCTCACGGATTTGGAGGAGAATGGTGGCCTGGAGCCAAAAACATCCACCTGGTAAGAATGGGCACAACATCCGAACTGACTATTCGGGCACAACTTGGGGCCTTGGAGGCCAGTGAGTTTTCAATGAAGATCCATGTCCCATGAGATCAGATCTGAGAATGATCTTGTCAAGCAACCAGTCGGGGATGGAGATCCAGTGTCTATACACACACATATATGTATATATTATATATATAATATATATATATATAAATATTGTATAGGGACTGTTGAACAATCACCGGGTGGAACTCTTCATTGCCCTAGCAGATGAGCAATGAATCTCGAGATCCATTAAGATCCACAGATCGAGTCGGCCAATCATTGGGATTTTCCACGTCCAGCTGTCAATCGCTGCAGAAATTTATATCGCCAAAAAGCCAGGATTGCTGTTACCCCCTGGCTATTTAATACAATTTTTATGGTATAGATGGCTCATTAGACCAACATACATGGTCAATTCAGGATCTTTCATATGGCAACGAGGAGCAAGGAAAAATCCTTCTGAGAAGGTGGACAAAACCTTGCTCGCAAAAGGGAGTCAAGATGTTGTCCTGAGCCATTTAGTTCCATGATTTATAGATGATTTACCTATGCAAAACGGTGGTTTTCCATAGCTATATGTTAAATACCCAGAGAGTACACTTTCAGGAGGATATGGTCCGTGGCTTTTTTGGGTACCGAATCCAATAAAGATCCCAAGGTCGATTGGCATCCAAGATTGGCCATAGCTGAGGGTATACATGTTTCAGTTCACAGGCTGAAAAAATGATGGGAACTTACAATGACCATGGGTGGAGTCATCCCTCGTACCGTACGACCCCTGAAGTTTGAACCGTGTGGAACGCCTAGCGGATGTGGACCTTGAATAATTTTTGACACACACCCAGTTTTGGACAAACAACCAACCCCAAATCAAGTACTTTATGTATTCTTTATGTCAATTCCCGATGTTGATATTGCCATGGATTTATCGACATATATCAAAATACATCAACATACCAAATTCCATTGAAGGTACCCTTTGGTAAACTAAGATAACATAAGATAACTATAGAAAATCACCATTTTGAATAAGTAAATCAACTATAAATGTGGTATTTTCAATAGCAAACTGTTAGTCATTACCAGAGGGTAGTAGTCACCAAATTGTCCTAAACTGTTGGTGAACAACCCCATCCAACGATCCGATGAAAACGCCCAAGTTGTGCCATGGTCCCAAGTTGTGCCAAGTGGTTTCACCCCCTACTTCTTGCTGATCGAGGAGTGATTAATTGTGGTAAAACCAATAGTTAAAGATATTTACTGTATGATATATTGATCAACCACATACCCATTGCTGGGGTCGGGTATGGTATAGTTTTTTCAACAAATCACAAAACATGAAATAAATCCTTTTTGATCAGATAAACCTCCAACGTTTTTGACATAGTTTTCTATAGGACAGTCATACACACACACATATATATATATGTTACCCATGGTGGATTTTTGCAGCAAGCCATGTTGAATTATCATCATCGAAAGGGCCTCTCTTCCAAGGTTTGGGACATTTGGGTCCTGACCTCGGAGTTCCTTTGTCGCAGGCATATCGCGCCCTGCTGAAGCTTGGGTCGATGTGTTTTTTCGCGATGCGGGGGCGTTGTGGAATTTTTTGCGGCCCAAAGGTAAGACATGGTAAGCTTCAAAAAAGATAGAACAGGTCAAGTTTATCAGCATTTTGGTGTGGATTTGTTTTTCTATCTTTTCATTGGGGGGGGACCCCTATAAATCGAGTATGGTAAAACTTAGACCAAAGTCTTTGTTTTTTATCGGGGGGTTTCTATTTACGTCTCAACCATTTGGTTGTAAGCGATTAGGTTCTATGCTAAATATATAGTTTCCACTGGGTATGGAAAATGATCCTCAAAGCGGGGAACCCTTGGAACATGCTTGTTGTGTTCAGAGATGGGACTGTGAGCTTTTTGGGGAGAGCTGGTAAACGGTTAAAGATGGACATAGCCTATACTTTTGATTGCTATTTCTATAAACTCAGCAGATTCTTCGCATTTTACACTGCGTACTTTTCTTGGAGGTTGCCTGAAATTTGAGTGCAGAAGGTCCCTGATGTCGGAAAACGTGGTGTGTCCACGCCAGGAACGTCTTGGCATTGCCATTGTCCCCAATGGGTTCTGAAGGGCTACTGGATGCTTGGCTTCCATTTCCAAGGGCCCCGAGTCGCAGAATTGGATCTAACATGGGTCAACATTGTGCAACAAAGATGTTTTCCTGCTAAGAAACCCTCGAATTCAATGCAATTTGTGGATTAATATTTAATAATATTGATATTAACCTGTATCATCAAACAACCATTAAATTTTGGTCGTTTTGGTTTTCTGCCCGTTTCAGAAAATAATGGTAATTCTGCCCGGTTTGGGCCATTTCTGCCCGATCTCAACTTTCCGGCCATGTCTTATTTCCACACGTGGAGTCTCTTGCCACATCACATCAAATCATCCAACCTTCAGCAATTCCTGCCGGTAAAGGTCCAAACACTTCTGTGTTGCTATATAAAAAGCAGGTGGTGACATGAACGTGACAACCGTGAACATCTTCCGATGTGATCTTCGTCTTGCCAACCCCCCCAGCCTCAGTCACTGGGCCATACCAAAGAAAATCATCTTAAGATATCCCTAACTGAAAAGCACTTCTATACCCCCTGCTCAAACGTAGAACAGGGCCTCATGAAGAAGAATCTGATCCACTAAGTGTGTTGAAAAGCATCCCAAGAATGGCTACAGCCATGCAGCCAGCAATCAACCCTCTTGGTGTGTCTGCGGGTGGGTGACCCGCTTTGCTAAATCAAAAGAATTTGCCATTTAAACCTAGCTTTGCTGCGATAAAATACATTTTGTCAAAACACATCAGGGCAGAAATCCTGATTTGCGCCCATTTGCGGGTTTTTGTGTGCCGATTGCGGGTTTTTGCGCCCGATTTGCGGGGCAGTTTTGGCCCGAAAAAACTTGAAAATTGACGATTTGCTGTTTTGCGGGGAGTTGTCATCCCAAATCTGCGGCGTGAACACGTGTGAATCATACGTGTTTTGCATGACTGCCTTAGGTCTTGTGAATAATGCCAAATAAATAATTGTATGCGTGAAGTCCCACACGCAGACAACTGTCTCAGATGGTACAGCTTTGCGAGCCAGAATCTGAACAACACGTGTCATACAGCATTGAAATTTTTGCCAATTGGCATCCAATCCCTGAACAATGCACCACCCCTGCAAAGAATAAAAGACAAAGCATAGCGGGGGCTCAGGCCCGAAAGCGCAGGCCCCATGGATCCAGTCAAACACGTCAGGGGTGAATCAGTGCCACAAGTGTAACTTTGGTGAAAGAAAGTGAAGTTATGGGATGGGACACCATGGAAACACATAGAAAATTTGATTTCAGCCAGATTTCTGCCATTTTGGGTCGTTTGGGTTGAATTGCCCGATCTGACCCAAAATAGGTCAATTGGCTAAAAACAGGGTCATTGACCAAAACAACCTTTTTTTTCTGCTCGTTTGCTGGTCCAGGAATATTTATATATTGATTGGATCATCTCCCCATGTGGCTGAGCATGGAATCCCAACAATGGCTGCAACAATCACCAACCAAAAGCCATCAAAAGCCCATGTTTTTTTACGGACGTCCAGGAGAAGCAAGTCTCGGAAATTTCTCGCCGCTTCCGGCGCTACAAAAACACGGTCTTTGCCGCTGGACGTGGATCTAGGAATCGATTTTTTTCGTTGGGAGTGTTGGATCTGTCCATTGGGGAAGCTCAAGTTGATTAATATCTGGGCTTCTCACGACCCTTTGGTAAACTATAGCAGTTTGCTACGGAAAATGATGGAACATGTTAATTTAGTTCGTTGATTTATCTAAAAAGAGGTGATTTTGTTCTGTAAGTGTAAGTTTACCGGAGGGTATTGAGATGGTGTGAATGGCGGCATGGTTATTTAAGGCTTGATCCAGAAAGGGACTTTCAATAGATCTTAGCGATTGAACCATCAAGTTCCTCCACTAGCTTCGGGTGGTGGTTGGTGGTGCTGTTGGTGGTGCTTCGTGGTGCTCATCCTGGACGTTTGAAATGACTTTGCCGAAGGGTTTTGCCAATGAGGCAATGGCATTGGATGATGAGGATGACAGAAAAACGCCAGGTCGCTCGGGTTCCAAACCAGATGGAGACAAGGAAAAACAGAAAGGACATGGACCCAGCAAGAGATACTTTTTGGATTCGGGTCGAATGTGTTTCGATCAATGTTTACATCACCAATTTAGGTGTGGTTTCATTTGTAATTACACCAAAAAAATAGAGCAGTAATGTCTCACTAGTTTAAATTCGGATTTTGCTATGTTATATTTGTTTGGGAACGGCCGTTTCAATGGGGAAAACTATGATTAACCATCAGTTTTGGGGTTTACATGATCAACTGGGTTTGTTTGAGAATATAGGGTACCTCCAATTCCAATGGTTAATCACCATTTTCAGACAGACCGATGTTGCCAGCGATAAAACGTTATGGATTTGCCAGCCAGGTTCGATGACACCAGAGGGTAACCATCATGGTTTTTCATAGGTAGATCACGGTAGATCATATATTTTTCTCATCTATTTCTATAGGCCATGGCTTCCATAGCTGTCTTAATGAGATGGTAGCAGTTTCTCATGGAAGTTTTGGATTAGCACTCATATATATCAACCATTATTCACCACTATTAGCCCCACTAGTCATAACACTAGTGAATTGAATAATGATAAATTGACCTCGAGGCTTGAATGGCTTCTTCTATTGTTAATAGTTGACGATTATTAATCGCTTCTATCATTGACCATTATTAATAGCATTGAAGAAGCCAGTTTTCCTTGCCGGCCGCCTCAGTGTCGGAGGTGATGGCGTTGACCCAGAGGAAGTCTTGCAACTGTCCGTGGCGGAAAAGGATGAGACCTTTGACGCTTCGAAGAAATTCAAGTCATGGTGAAATCATGAAATCATGGTGAAATCATGGTTAATATAGTGGTTAATATAATGGTTAGTAGTTAATATAGTGGTTACTAATGATTAATAGTGCTTAATATTGACTATGAATCTATGAATTATATATTAGTAATATTAGCCATTATCCACGATTATTCACTGGATTTCACCACAAGAAATGGTGAATGGACATGAATTAACCAACCCAACAAATGCATCATTTAAGCACATACATACATATCATATATATATATACATACATAATTACACATATATACACACATATATATATATATATTATGCACGGTATTTTGCCAACAGAAATGGTGAATTAGCCATCCAAAAAAAACGCGCATTTCATTTAACCATATGTAATCAAAAGGAATGGTGATGATTTAACCAATAAAACAATGCATTTATGTGCCAACAATGGTGGTATATACTGGCAATACAATGTAGATAATCTCTGAATTGTAGGAACCTCAGGAACCTTGCGGCGTCACTGGAAATTACGGTTTACCTGTATTTTTTATTCACGATATATTGTATATAAGTGATTTTTAATAAGACTGTGTTCGTGTATTTTATATGTGTTTCTGTATATTTATATGTGTTATATGATATGATATAGAGAATCATCCCAGAGTGAGGGCTTTGAGTTCGACAAATCATTATCACTCTGATATATAGTGGGGGATGGGCATGAAACAGTGGAATTGCAGCAATTCATCCAGCAAATGGGAAATGTGGAGCATGGTTTGATAAGATGACAGTCGTCGGTTATTGGGTCCATTGTTTGGGGTTCCCATGGTGACATACAGATATACCAGCTAGCTTTAGCATGTTTGTAAAAGCGGATACAAGATTGGCAAGGCACATGGCTTTTGATCATGATTCGGGACTGTAGCAAGCCCACTTGTATAAAAGGTCAGTGCCAATTATTTGCCATCAACCATCAAGGATGAACTGGGCACTCAGTTTGCCACATGGGTTTGTTCCAAAAATTCACCAGAATGACCTTGGGGTATCCCTCATTCGGGCGCCCGAATTGGGATGGTCTCCTATTTTTGTTGACAACCCTTGCCGTGGGTAGAATGGGGCTGCAGTCGCGACTGAAACTATTTTTTACGTTGGATACCATCAAACAGGTGAGGGGATGTAAATGGTGCAAAGCACATATAAAACAACTGATTCTATTTATTTTGGATCTACGTATATAGGTAAGTGTTTTTTTTTGGGAGTTTCCAGTCGTTTGGAGGTTTCACTAAGAAGACACGGGTTTGACTCAACCCCAAGTCTTCGGAGAGGGACGTGTTATTAAAACCTGCACAAACATATCATACATACATACAGGCATGTCAATCACGTACAGTAAACATGCATATACATACATACATACGTGCATATTTAAAAACACACACACACATATTCAGATTTATGTACATGTGCATTTGCAAATATAATGAAAAATATAGTCATACACATGTGCACACACATATGTATACATATATGTACATGTTTTATATTGCCATCGTGAATATGCATACATACACACAGATATATAAATCATATATATATATATGTGTGAATGAAAACAATTTAGTGCAGGTGCAGAGGCATAATATATGTTTACAAGAACATCTATGCGAAAGACCTGTGGCAAACAAGGACCTGTGGCAAACAGGATCAAAACACAAATAAGCTTCTAAGTAGACATGTTTTAATTAGACATATGTGCGTAAACATTCAGACGGTGTTGTTTGTAAACCACTGATATGTTGATTAACCCTCCATTTTTGCCAAGATCCCCACTTGTTCAAGCCATGCGCGAAACGAGGACCCACTTCATGAAAAAGGCCGAGGAAGTTTCAGACGCATCCGCAAGTCGCCAGTGCTGCATGTTGTTGTTGTTTTTTTTTCCGTGCTTGAATGGGAGGACAGTTTCCAACGCCCAACTCTTGGCAGAGGCTATGATGGGATGATAACGAATCTTGTTGCCAAATACGGCAACTTCCGCTTCCAGGACGAAGAGGTTATATGGATATGTAAGAATATGTAAGGTAGCTGCTGATTTTGCAAGCTGATTCCCAGTTGGGGTTTTAAAATAGTGGGGTTGATGATTATTTCCCCATTCAAATGGTCTCTTTGGTGGGCTGCCAATCCCCTGTTTTCATTGGCGCTTTTACATCCCATAATCCATAACATAGCCCCATGATCTCCCATGATGTTATACAGAAATACACGACATAATCCATAATCATCATGATAGTCGTCAAATGATCATCAAATGATCATCAAATGATCATCAAAAAATCCCATTAACATCACCAACAAACCCATAAATCCCATGGTTTTTGCGATGATTTTCTCCCCCGACCCATGAATAGCTTGTGTACCGCTACAATGGATCACTGCGCCCGAGTTCAATCGTCTGGACGGCTGCGGGTGCCATGGTCCAGCTGGAAACGGACTTTGATCCCTCCAGACGCTGGGACCCGGGGGAGGATCTACGAAAAGATTGCGATTTAAGGATATATTAGTTTATGTAGTAAACTATATATTGGATCAATCAATCAATTATATATCTACACATATATAATCATATAGAGATATATGCATATTTTATATGAGTGGATGTGTAGTGAGCCAATACTCAGATCATCAGGTATGGATAGATAGATGATTGTCAGGTCACAAAATCTTCGATGACCCAAGGCTGTGGAATCGGTGCCGGTTCCGTGGAATCGGTGCCTTCTTTGCCTTCAGATCAAAGTAATCTCGAAGGCGTGGCCCGAAGTCCCGGTTTTTTTGTGTTTGAAATTTGGATATACCCCCAAAGTTAGCTATAGTTGAAATGAACTTTCATAGGGCTTTCATAGGGCTTTCATAAGGCAACTGATGATTTGTTCGAAACATGGGTGAATTGGGGGGTAGCCTTGACAAACCCAGGCAGTCATATTGTTTGACAATTTCAATGGAGCTACACGCTTATTCTGTTGTATCCCACAAAAAGCCTATCAAGAAAAGGCCTCAAGGAGCCAAGAATCCGGCGATTCAAATTCTCAAAAAGGGGAGCCAAGGAGCCATGATAAGGCTTTCCCAACCACATGATAGAGAAGACGACAAAATTCGGGGTATGAGGTTTATAAGACCTATTTAATTATTTAATTAAGCATTTCATGGCGATATCATTGGGAATATAAGCAGAACTAAGACACCAGGGTTTGTGGTAGAGATATGGGGACTCAACCAGAGACTGAAATCACTAGTCATGGAATATCATCGCAATTGTTTACATGGGACATGATGATAAAACCTTGTGGTTTTAGAGATATCAACTGTTTTTTTTCCGGAGACCAATTGATGGGACAGTAGATGATCTGTACCATTATTAATAAAAGGACCGGATAACTCCCCACATGTCAAGCCTTTATGTATGTAAGATTTTAATGTGAACTTCGGGGAGGTGTGAGAAGTGAGGTGTGAGAAGTGGACTTGTGATGTCAGGTGTGAGAAGTGGAGCTGTGACGAGTTCTGATGTGATAAGTGAGGTGTGAGAAGGGGTGTGAGAAGTGGAGCTGTGATGGGATAAGTTGTGATAAGTTGTGATAAGTTGTGATGAGAAGTTGTGATTTGATAAGGGAGCTGTGAGAAGTGAGGTGTGAGAAGTGGAACTGTGATGAGTTGGGATGTGATAAGTTGTGATGAGTTGTGGTGAGAAGTGGAGCAGTGATGAGTGAGGTGTGAGAAGTGGAGCTGTGATGAGTTGGGATGTGATAAGTTGTGATGCGTTGTGGTGAGAAGTGGACCTGTGAGAAGTGAAGCTGTGATGAGTTGATGGGCTCTCTATACTTTGCCTGCCACGCAAAAGGCAGCCGCGGGCCAGCGGCGGCCACGCGCTCGAGGGACTCATTGTACTGCACCTGCCACGCAAAAGGCAGCCGCGGGCCAGTGGCCCACGCGCGCCGCAGCTCCTCGAGGAGGCCCTGTGTATTGCGCCTGCCACGCAAAAGGCAGCCGCGGGCAGCGGCGGCCACGCGCGCCGCAGCTCCTCCAGGATATACTGCGCCTGCCACGCAAAAGGCAGCCGCGGGCCAGCGGCGGCCACGCGCGCCGCAGCTCCTCGAGGAGGCCCTGTGTATTGCGCCTGCCACGCAAAAGGCAGCCGCGGGCAGCGGCGGCCACGCGCGCCGCAGCTCCTCGAGGAGGCTCTGTGTATTGCGCCTGCCACGCAAAAGGCAGCCGCGGGCCATGGTGGCCACGCGCGCCGCAGCTCCGCCAGGAAGCTCTGTGTACCCTGCCACGCAAAAGGCAGCCGCGGGCGCCAGGAAGCTCTCTGTACTGCGCCTGCCTGCCACGCGATAAGTGGTGTAGTGAAGAGTGGTGAATGATGAGTGAGATGTGATGAGTAGTGTAGTGAAGAGTGGTGAATGATGAGTGAGATGTGATCAGTGGTGTGCTGAAGAGTGGTGAATGATGAGTGAGAGGTGATAAGTAGTGTAGTGAACAGTGGTGAATGATGATGAGTGAGAGGTGATAAGTAGTGTAGAAAAGAGTGGTGAATGATGAGTGAGATGTGATAAGTGGTGTGCTGAAGAGTGGTGAATGATGAGTGAGAGGTGATAAGTAGTGTAGTGAACAGTAGTGAATGATGAGTGAAATGTGATGTGATAAGTGGTGTAGTGAAGAGTGGTGAATGAGTGAGTGAGTGAGTGAGTGAGTGAGTGAGTGAGTGAGTGAGTGAGTGAAGATGAAGAGGAGGCGGCGGAGGAGGCTGCCCCGGCGGGATCCAAGCGAAAAACAAGAACCCCACACAGTGATGTGGGGAATAAAACAATCTTGTCCATACGATACCTTTGTTTATACGATACCTTTGTTTAACCGAGCTCCGGACCCCAACATACTCCGGTCGCTCACTTCCCTGACTCTGCGCCAGATCTTCCCTGGGTGTCCGTGACCCTGGACGACCAGTGTTTGATCAGCGAAGGGCTTTGATAGGTTGGGAGAGCTCACCAGCCAATATGGAGGATGTAACATGTCTTTTTGACCAGAAACATGGATTTCACGAGGATCACGAGGCACAAAATGGAGGAAACTATGAGCAATTGAGATGTTCACCATCAAACATGGGGACCATTTTCCCGAACAAAATGAAACGACATGGAATTGAATGGTTTGACCGATCATGAAGAGATGGGGCGGAACCGTCAATGGTGGAATTGCTGTAAAACGCACAGGTTTGAACCGTTCAACCATCAAAACAAAACTATACAAGACTTGGAGTTTCACCAGCCAAGACAGATTTTTCACGATCAACAAGTGAGATTTCACCATAATTCACCATGGAGGACCATGGGTATTGCACGGTGAGATGCTCCAAAAAAACCCTCCAACTCTGGTGCTGTTGAGAAGAAATGCGCTGGCACCTCAAAAGACGCAGCCGGGAACGAAGCTCGAAATGCCAAGCTTGTTAGTGAACCCATTGCTGTTTGGTGGAATCACACATTTATGTTGTTTCCACATTTGGCATGATGGTACCAACTGTCTTTGTTTAGTATCTATCTATCTATCTATCGATCGATCTTTCTATCTATCTATCTTTCTATTTTCCTATACTTCTATCTTTCTACCTGTCTTTACTTTATGTTTTTTTTTCTATTTGTCTGTCTATCTATAGCTCTATCTATCTATCTATCTATCTTATCTTATCCTATCTTATCTTATCTTATCTTATCTATCTAATCTTATCTATCTATCTATCTATCTATCTATCTATCGATCTATCTATCTATCTATCTAATCTTATCTAATCTTATCTTATCTTATCTTATCTTATCTATCTAATCTTATCTATCTATCTATCTATCTATCGATCTATCTACCTACCTATCTATCTATCTATCTATCCATCTATCTACCTATCTATCTATCTATCTGTCTATCTATCTATCTATCTACGTACCTATCTATCTATCGATCTAATCTGACCCAATCTAACCTAATCTTATCTTATCTCATTTTATCTTATCTCATCTATCTTATCTATCCTATCTATCCTATCTATCTATCTGTCTGTCTGTCTATCTATCTATCTACCTACCTATCTATCTATCTATCTATCGGTCTAATCTGACCCAATCTAATCTAATCTTATCTTATCTCATTTTTATCTAATCTTATCTATCTTATCTGTCCTACCTATCCTATCTATCATATCTATCCTATCTATCCTATCCTATCCTATCCTATCCTATCTATCTATATCTATCTATCTATCTATCGATCTAATCTGACCCAATCTAATCTAATCCAATCTTATCTTGTTTTATCTTATCTTATCTGTCTTATCTATGCTATCTATCCTATCTATCTGTCTGTCTATCTATCTACCTACCTACCTATCTATCTATCTATCTAGCTATCTATCTATCTATCTATCTTTCTATCTATCCATCTTATCTATCTTATCTATGTTATCTATCTTTTCTATCTTACCTATATCATCTATCGTATTTATCTTCTCTTGATCATCGTTATCTCATCGATATCGTATATATCTTATCTATAGCTCATCTATCTGTCTTATCTATCTTGTTTGTCTTGTCTTATCTCATCTTATCTTACCTATCTCATTTAACTTATTTATATTATCTATCTTATCTGTCTTATCTAACTTATCTATCTTATCTATATTATTTATTTTATCTATTGGACCTATCTTACCTTACATATCTTACATATCTTACATATCATATCTTATCTTATCTTATCTTATCTATCTCCTCTAACTTATCTATTTTATCTATCTTATCTATCTTATCTATTTTATCTATCTTATCTATCTTATCTATCTGATCTATCTGATCTATCTGATCTATCTGATCTATCTGATCTATCTGATCTATCTGATCTATCTGATCTACCTAATCTATCTAACCTATCTAAACTATCTAATCTATCTAATCTATCTAATCTATCTAATATTTCTAATCTATCTAATATTTCTAATCTATCCAATCTATCTAATCTATCTAATCCATCTAACCTATCTATCTGTCGATCTAATCTATCCCAATCTAACCTATCTTATCTTATCTTATTTTATCTTATCTTATACATCTTATCTATCCTATCTATCCTTTCTACCCTATCTGTCTATCTATCTATCTATGTATCTAATCTTATCTTGTTTTGTCTTGCCGTATCTTATCTTATCTATCTATCTCTATCTCTCTATCGCCTTATCTTTCTATCTATCTACTTCTCTATCTCTCTATATATCTCTCTCTATCTCTCTATCTCTCTATCTCTATCTACCTATCTCTCTATCTCTATCTCTCTATCTTTCTATCTCTCTATCTATCTATCCATCGATCTATCGATCTATCGATCCATCTATCCATCGATCTATCTATCCATCTATCTATCCATCTTTCTATCTATCTACCTATCTATCTATCTATATCTACCTATCTATCTATCTATATCTACCTATCTATCTATCTATATCTACCTATCTATCTATCTATCTATCCTGTCTATCCTATCTATCTATCTATCTAGCTAACTATCCATCTATCCATCTTATCTATCTATCTATCGATCGATCGATCGATCTATCTATCTATCTTTCTATCTATCCATCCTATCTATCTATCCTATTTATTCCTATCTATCTATACTATTTATTCCTATCTATCTATCCTATCTGTCTATCCTATCTATCCTATCTATCAATCCTATCTATCTATACTATTTATTCCTATCTATCTATCCTATCTGTCTATCCTATCTCTCTATCCTATCTATCTATCGATCTATCTATCTATCTATCTCTATCTCTATCTCTATCTCTATCTCTATCTCTATCTCTATCTCTATCTATCTATCTATCTATTTATCTATCTATCTATCTATTTATCTATCTATCTATCTATCTATCTATCTATCTATCTATCTATCTATCTATCTATCTATCCTATCTATCCTATCTATCCTATCTATCCTATCTATCCTATCTATCCTCTCTATCCTATCTATCCTATCTATCCTATCTATCCTATCTATCCTATCTATCCTATCTATCCTATCTATCCTATCTATCCTATCTATCCTATCTATCCTATCTATCCTATCTATCCTGTCTATCCTGTCTATCCTATCTACCCTATCTATCCTATCTATCCCATTGCACGCGGGTTCGGGTACACGCGCGCACCCTGAAAAGCGTCAAAGCCGCAAAGCCGCCATGGAACGCTCAAGCCGCAAAGCCGCAAAGCCGCCATGGAACGCGCAAGCCGCAAAGCCGCAAAGCCGCAAAGCTGCAATGGAACGCGCAAGCCGCAAAGCCGCAAAGCCGCAAAGCTGCATGGAAGCGCAAGCCGCAAAGCCGCAAAGCCGCAAGCTCTGCGACTCATGCGCCGCCTCCTGCGTTCATCGCCGCTGCGTTGCCACCGCCATGGATCGCTGAAGCCGCAAAGCCGCAAAGCCGCAAAGCCGCAAGCTCTGAGATGCAGGCGCCGTCTCCTGTGTTCATCGCCGCTGTGTTGCCAGAGCGTCAAGAAGCGTCAAAGAGCCGCAAAGCGCCAAGGCGTCGAAGCACCACGAAGCGTCAAAGCGGCAAAGCTTCAAGAAGCGCCAAAGCGTCAAGAAGCGTCAAAGCTTCAAGAAGCGGCACAGCGCCGAAGCGTCAAAGAGCCGCCAACGAAAGGCTGGCTGTGCTTAGAAGGGGACGGGCTTGCTTACGGAAAGAGGTCTGCAACCAAAGGCTGGCTGGGTTTAGAAGGGGACGGGCTTGCATATTGCGAGACAATTCGTAGCGAATTCCGAAGAACAATGGAAGATGTTATGGCAACCCCCAAAAGATTGAAACGTAGCATTCGACTAAACGAATGGCAATTTTCCTTCCTATTTGGTTGAAAGATATTATCTACAATGTCCCCCCCGGTGTGATAGACAGTCCCGGCCTATGCGACACAGACCTTGCAAAAACAACTTTAAACAAGAACAAGAACAGCAACAACAACAACCACAACCACAACAACCACAACCACAACAACCACAACCACAACCACAACAACAACCACAGCCACAACCACAACCACAACCACAACCAACACCAACAACAACAACAACATCAACAACAACAGCAACAGCAGCAACAGCAGCAACAGCAACAGCAACAACAACAACAACAGCAACAGCAACAACAAGAACAACAAGAAGAAGAAGAATAAGAAGAATAAGAAGAAGAAGAAGAAACAGAAGAAGGAGAAGAGGATGAAAAAGAACAAGACAAAGAACACGACAAAGAACACAACAAAGAACAATAACGAATAGAACAAGGAGAACAATGAAAACAAGATGGAGAACAAGATGAAGAACAAGAACAAGAACTACAACAAGAACAAATTCAAGAAACAGAACAAGAAGAAGAACACAACCACAAGAACAAATCTAAGAACAAGAACCACAACACCAACAACAAGAAGTCCTTAACTTTCGATCATCCTTGATGCTACGCTGCAAGATCTTGCCCTTGATTTTCGAACAGCTTTGATGCTACGCTGTCAGATCACAGCCTGATCTTGCAATCATCTGGGATGCTACCGTGTAAACATTTTGTCCTTAACTTGCAAATCTTTGTTGCTACAAAGTAAGATCTTGTCCTTAGCCTTCAAGCATGTTGGATGCTACGCTCCAAGATTCTGTCTGTCTTGTCCCTAACCCTCAAACATGTTGGATGATACGCTGTAAGTTCTTGTCCTTAACGGACAAGAACCAGAACAAAAACCAAAACCACAACCACAAGAACAATATCAAGAGCAATAACCACAACATCAACAACAGTAAAGACAACAACAACAACAACAACAAGAACAACAAGAACAACAACAATAGCAATAACAGGAACAAAAACAAAAAACAATAACAAGCACAAGAACAAGAACAAGAACAACAACAACAACAACAACAGCAACAGCAACAGCAACAAC